AAGCAGTATTTGTTTTGCTGTAGTCAAGTGACATAAAATTTAACATTTATGGAGGTGAATGATTTTAAATTCTACTACCTTCAAATGAGTATGCCATGAAGATAGAATATTTTTTGGTGATGTTTAGGAAAATCAGATATATCTAAAATTTTTTGATAGTTTTTCCTACAGACAGTAATTAGTTCATTCCCCTTCCACTTTCCAAAATACTCAAGAGGTACCTGTCCATTTAAATGAGTACAAATTGATAGTCTACAAATACTAGAAATTAGTAGTTATTAGATTTCATTATAAATTTATTAGTTTTAAAGTTTTTCTTATTTGATATACCTTATAATGATCTATATTCTATTTGAGTATATGAAAACATGAAATTTTAGATAATTTTAGGTATTTTTTAAAAAACTGAATAATAATATTATATGGATATAGAAATTTGATATGTGTTCTAAAAAAACCCAATTGATTTAAAAGAGATAATGAAGATTAATAAAGCTAAAAATATCAGAGATAGTTACAATACCGTGAAAATATCTACTCATGGTTATTCATGTCCTAAATTATTCATGTAAATGTAGAAGAAAGATATGGAATGAATACTTATGTGTTCTATATAGTTTGCATCTGAAAGAACACCCATTTCTTAGTAGCTGAGTGAATAATTTATAATGCAAAAGTTTACTTTCTAAGTTATATATCACTTTGAAATGTTCTATAACAAAATATAATGCACTTTATTCCTTTTTAGTATTTCAGCAAGATTCCAACTAACCAAAAGCCATCATTATTCAGAAAAATTTATCAATGATTTATTTGCTATTCAGATTAATACTAATACACCCATGATGGCAGTAATAGTTTAATTTTACTTATTAATTATATTAATTCTACTTTTATCAAGTCAAAAATTTCTGCATAAAAGGTACTGACTTATCTATTATATATATACCTATTTCTCAACACATGTATAATTTCCCAATTATTTTCCTTCTTTATAGATATCGATTGAATGTTAACAAGGAAATTTTTATTTCTATGCAATCAAATATACAAGTTGTAACTTATGTTTGCTTGTCAGCTAATAAATCTTAGATTGCTATTGGCATCATTTAAATTATTATTTTGAATATATCTCTCTGATATCTAAAGATATTACACATACTAAATATTTTGAATGTGCAGTTAGTGTTTCAGATAGCATTTTCATGAATATTATTTTTGAACTTAAAATTAAATATTTATTACTTTCAGTCCACTATGTGGAGATCATCTCTCCAGATGGATGTTCTTAAAGAATACCAATAGATGCCTCTCTATTTGTATTACTTAGCAATTATAATTTTTACAATTTTAATATACTGAAATAAGTCAAGTAAATGCAGTTGATGGTATTGTAATTATCTTGAATTATCACAATTATTTTTTTTGGTACCGGGGATCAAACTCGGGTCCTTGCGCTTGCGAAGCAGGTGGCGGAACCACTGAGCTAAATCTCCGGCCCCAAAGTATCACAATTTTTGAAAGATTGTAACTCTTAATGTTCCACCACTCAGTGACATAGCTATGTGTGATAATCAGAGGCAAGGAGACATGGGTTGCTATTGGAAATAGGAAGACATCTAGATTTCAAAATCTGTAATTGGCCCACCAAGCAGATGGTCCCTTATGCTCATTTGATTCAGTGGTATTAACTTATTATTATCAATCATCTGAATATAAACTAATTTAGTGGCACAGTTTGTATGACAATCTTCAAACAACATTTGGAAAGAAAGAAAGGATTATTTACTTATTGTTGGCTCTCAATCTTGAACTTTAGCATTAAGTTTTTATTATATAGGCAAAAATAAATCTACCTGAATACACTGCTGAAGAATCAGTAAAAGTCCTAAATATATGCAATCATGATAAAGAAATTACTTAATTTGTTTCATAAGTGCAACATACTCTATAGTCTATGAAGAAAAAAAAAATGTTACAAGTCTTGCCTCAAAACAAAATCTCTCCCTACAATCAAGATAGTTCAAAGGCTAGTACTATTCCTTGTGGTCTTGCTAATTGCTCACTATTCATCATGAAAATATTAATCAACATTTTATTGTTTTTCTAAGTTTGCCTAGTCATCTGTTTGAAGTAGGAGGACTTATGAAACCTCCAATATACATATGAAGACAGTTTACATGCCATGCTTCTACAAGAAAGCTTTTGTTTTGTTTTGTTTTGCTTTGCTTTGTTTTGTTTTCTTTCCTTTTGTTTTGTTTTTATCTTGCCAGGGTAAACAATCCTATCAATGAATTCTTTCCTGTCAACAGACTTCAAATTCTCAACAGGAGTGTTTTTTTAAAAATAAATCTCTCAGAATACAGCTATCCCATTATCAATTTTATATTTTTGCACTCTGACTTATTAAGTGTGAAAGAAACTTAAGATTTAATTAACAAACTTATAGTATTTGTGTTTTTTTCAATGGTCCAATGTAAAAAAGCAAGTTTTCTAAACATCCATTCATGAGTGACTGGGTAAAATGTTGCATCTGTCTTACACATTGCCTCCAAGATATGTAGATCCTTTCCTGAGAGAAGTCATTGTACAAAAGAACATGTAAATATAACCTCGTCATCCATACTCATGGTTATATATTGCTAAAAGGTAGAAAATCTTCTACTTTTCCTCCTACAAAGGCTATGTTTCCTTAGTTAAAGAGCTTGTTATTAGGAGAGGTCCAGGTCTTCATAATGTTTATGTTCATGATCTAAGGGATCCAAAATAAATAAGGACTGTAAAGTGCTTTGGGCTTCTTTTCCAGGGTAACATAATCAGGAATCCTGAACTCAAAATCTGAGAATTAAATGCAAAGTTGCTCTATAATATGGAATTGTAAAGATTATTTGGTGACATTATTATTCAATCACTCCTGACAGGACAAAGCAGACAAAGTCCATGATTATAGCTATTTCTCAAAGATTTGTGTTGTGTATTTCTTTTTAAAACAATAATAGAATAACTTAAAAGTAACTGATTTAAGGTCTCTCCTGTGCTTAAATTTTTATTCAAAGAATATACTAAAATATAGCTAGAGTCTTTTCACCCATGAGGGGTCATCAACTGTATACATATACTTTCAGAATATTTAAATATGTCTCAGTTAACACCCAAGATGGTCAAGAGTTATCTCTCTGCAAAGTTTTCAGATTCTGTAATTAAACTCAGTCTAACATTTAGCTTAGTGGTTCTGCAGCCTGCCTCGAAAAGGCAAGGTCTGGAGTTCAATCCCCAGTACCAAAAAAAAAAAAAAAAAAAAAAAAAAAAGCTGCTATGTAGATTTAAAAAAAAAAAAGAAAGAAAATTGTGCCAAAGAGTAATTTTTCATTTTCAGTCTAATTCCTTTTATTCACTTGTTTTTTAATATTTTTCTCTTTACACATCTCTTTTTTTCCTATTACATCTTAAAGCACATAATGTCTTTCAAACAAGTGAGAGATGCAATGAGTAGAGAAAAAAATAAACAGAAAGCAAAAACTTGTATTAAAAATTATCACAAACCTTATCTTTTTAAAAAATTGTCTACACAAAGACTTTAAAAACTATACAGATATGAATGCATACCTTCAAGTTATCATTAAATAATCATTGGATTTGATATTCTTCCATTTTGGTGACTTAAGCAAAATCAAATGCCCTTTGTAAAAAAAAATAACGTGTTTTGAAATGAGACCTAAATTTATAAAGATAGCCTCTGAAATTTACATGCAACAATGAACCTAAACAGAATGTTTCAAAAGAAATAAATGATAGCATTTAGTATATTCATCTTGGATGTGAAAATATTCAGGTACTTGGAATGTGTGAAAGAAATAATAGCATTTTAAAAACAAGGGCCAGGGATTTAGCTCAGTGGTTCTGGTGCCTGTCTCATAAGCACAAGCTCCCAAGTTCGGACAAGTGTGATAGGAAATAAGCAATCTGAGAGTTCCATTAGGATGATTCAGAAAATTTTCTATTTTTTTTTTTACAGGGGGTCGAACTCGAGTCCTTGTGCTTGCACAGCAGGTGATGAAACCACTGAGCTAAATCCCTTTTTTTTTTTTTTTTTTAGTATTGTGGATTGAACTCGGGACCTTGCACTTGCAAGGCAGGCACAGTGCCACTGTGTTAAATCCCCGGCCCAGAAACTTTGAAAAGTTGAAGAAACAAGAAAGTTTTAAAATTTCCCTTTCTTAGAAAAAAAGCAATTCTCTCAGGTAGAATCCTAAAAAGCAGGACACAGTAGTTTCTATGTACTTTTAATTAATTTCATGTAATCTGTGAAGATATAATTTCACATTTTTGAGAGGGACAAGTAGTGTTGGAGCAATGGTAATCATTTTGTAAAACTTTTTAAATCCATTTTTAAAAAATCATAGTTCCATTCTAAATGAATATTATCATAAAATAACTGAAAGAGGACTTCACTCTTGGTTTTATTATTAAACGTTAGCTCTAGTGAAATAATGAAATGTCAAGCAAACTCCTTCTATAGGCTTTTAAAAATTTTTAAATGGTAAATACAAAAAATTGTATCTTGCAGGGAGGCACTTTGTATTAATGCTTTAAAATTTAATGTATGCACTTCAATTCTAAACTTTTTTTTAAAAAAGGACAGAAAGCAACTATTTTTCATGTAGCATGCTTGTCTCTTTGCAAATG